GATAGGCAATTTGAGGCGGCGTGCTTGGATTGACTCGGGATTCCTTAGAACGGGCCGATACGGGTATTTTAGTTCGAGATTCGTATAATTTCGCGTTTTAATCTTCGATTAAGGCACAATAGCACTATCCTATTCCACTTTAAACTAGATTTCACAAAATAATTGAAAGTCAAAATAAAAACGACACTTTTCCCTCCAAAAGGCCCAGAGCGAATCACCGTAGTTTTTATATAATTCATAGACCAACTAGTATATAATTCATAGACAAACTAGAGTTGGCCCCAACTATCATATCGTTCCATATCAAGTACTAACGTGTGAAATTTGCCAAAATTGTTTGCTATTGACATTTCATTTCGAATAAAACTTCATCTCGACTGATATTAGAATTGAGGTCCAATCAAATCGTTTCGTTTTTCAGAGATATTCGAAATTTGAAAGTAATAATAAAATCGAATTTGATGTTATTATTAAGCAATAACATCGAGTACATAATCAAAAATAGGGACGAAATAAGGGCCATACATTCCTGGAAACTCATCAGTGATACATCACTTACAAAATATCAACTCTCGTTTGCACTGAAATTAAAAATTAGAAAGCTGAAATAGTACAGCGCCAACAACTGACCTGTGTGTACCGTCTCCGTATATTCCAAAAATATTGTATATTTATTGTAATAAAGATAATATCTCTAACAATGCCGTGCTGTTCTATTCGGTGGTGTGGTAAAAACAGTAAAACATCTAATTACAAAACAAACGAAATCACATTTCATCAATTTTTCAATTTTCGTCCATTATAGCAAATCTCAAGTTAACTGGTCGTTTTGACTTGAAACAATTGATGACACCCGTTAACTGTTTCGAATTATCGGATTGTCACAGTATGACATGGCAGAATAGTTTTCAAACAAATTAAATGACATTACGTCTCTATTTCTGGTTATGTCATAGAGGATGAAAAAGTCTAAGGGTCGTATTCTAGAACTCTACTCAATGCTCAAGTCAGGATTGCACTGGAAACACAAGTATTGGAAATACGACCCTAATGGCAGGGACTTGAGTATGATTTCGAGTGCTTTAAACCATACTCAAATCCTGACTTGAGCATTGAGTAGAGTTCTAGAATACGACCCTTAGGGTTATATTTCTTTTATTTTTTTTCCATCCTCTAAGGGTTATATACTCGATGACCAATAATAACATTTTGACAGGTAAGAAATTTGTTCTAACAAAACAGTTTATCTTTATGCTGGTCGTAATTTGCGCTTTTTGAACACATCATAGAGGGTTTATGACATTGTGTGTAGAAAAAACACTTTTAGTTAAGATGTAAAATCAAATTGTACATACTCACAAAATAGTAAATAGAGTGTAATTTTTAAGTTTGTTGACTGTTACGATGTTTTACTGTAATGATATTCAATTTTTTTTTTATGAAATTACTCTACTACTTTGTTATAATTATTAACTAAAAGATCGAAACACTAAGAAAAATTCCTTGGATTCTGTTGGAATCCAACCAGCACCTTCCAGCAATCCATCTAGAGCATCTATCACGGATTGCTGGAAAGTGCTGGTTCGAATCCAGCCTTGATTTACTTTAATTGGGTTGGCCAAAAAATACGTGCGGTTTTTACCACTCACTAAACAAAAAATAACTTTTTTGTTTTAAAAACTTATATAGTCTATGGTCAACTTAAAATTGTTTTAGCGCGCATTTTAAGTTTAGCTGAAAAGGAAAACTTTAAACTTATTATTATTTCCTTAATGGCGGCCACTAGGTTCCGGCCAGTGTCAGTTTTTATGAATTATTTTTAATATTATAAATTATGGTCCTTATGGGAATATTGACACGCGTAATTATTAGGTTATAATGTACCTAAATTATAATTATATCGTTTTTGTCTTTGCGATTATTTTTAAGTGTTGTTCTTGTTGTTTGTTTCACTCATAGATTTAAATAACAACTCAATGGTTTCACTTAGGTATTCAACTTTTGACACAAACTAGGGCAAGTACCTACTGGCTGCTTGAGTTTGTCTAGGTCACTCGAAGTAAATTAAAAAACTATGGCACATACGTTGCTCTGAATTTTTTTGAACGCCGTCAAGACATTACATAGAGAATGGAAAAAAGGGTTCCATAGTCTGAGAGACATTCCATTAAAATTTTTATTACGTCACATAAATAGATTAATGCTTCCAATGTCAACATTAACTCTACATTCCTCTAGCCCACATGTCATGGCTATAAAAATTTATAATCAACTACTTGATGCACTCAAAAACGAAACTAAAGAACATTAAAAAAAACTAAAAGAATTATTAATAAATAAATGCTATTATGATATTAAAGAATTATTGAACAGAACTCTTTGACAAAACGTTTTTGCATTTGAAAACAGCTCTTACCCTCGTCCCTTGTTTTGTTGTGCCCGAAAGGGTCCACGATGTGTGAACTTCCTATTATAATATAACATCTTGTATACCATTGTGGAACGCAAGTAAGATATTGTATTATATTGATCCCAAAGTGAGTATATAAGCATTTGTGTTATGGAAATCGGAAACAACGACGGTACCACAAACACCCAGACCCGAGACAATATAGAAAAGTTAGTTTTCTACATTGACCCGACCGGGGATCGAACTCGTGACCTCAGAGATGGCGACCCCATGAAAATCGGTGTGCAAGCCAATCGAGGATGGAGGCCGTCTAATAGTTTTAGACAGCCGCCGTGTAAAAGTACCGCCGTGTACTTTTTACTCCCTACATAAGGCTTTGACGGACTTTTAGAGCATCAAATCAAAATAAAAAAATGTTTATTCAAAATACAGTCGACATCAACTACAGACTGAGGTTGGGACCAACCTATTAATTAATTAAATAAATAAGTGTGTCAGGTGGTCCCACTCTTCCTTACTACTTACTTGGTACTTGGTGCAACGGGCTGGTATCCGCAACTCGACGACAAAGCGCCTATTTTGCGTGTGGTGGGTGCAGGGTCCTACTCGTGCCACCCAAGCTCCTCCAGGAATCTCAGCAGCCTCCTTGGTTTGCTGAAGACTTCGGGGTGCGACCTTGGCACTTCAAGGTACTTTGCCCTGTAGTTGGCCACGCCGGAGCACTGAAGTAGGATGTGCGCAGCCGTTTCCTTCCCCTCCATGCACGCTCTGCATAGAGGGCTGTCTGTGATACCTAAATTGAAAAGGTGTTTATTTTTATGGACCATGACCCGTTAGGTCGGCAGTTAGAGTGCGAAGCTCTTGCCTTTTAAGTTTAATTAGTATTCGAGATAGACTGGCATTGAGCGTTGGGACTGCTTCCCTCGCCTGTCTACAAACCGTAAGGGTGGTTCATGTATTATTATGTGAAGATTTTGTATCTTTGTGTATAGTTGTTCTGGACCATTGGCAGGGGAGGGACACTATCGGTTCTGGTCCTACAGCGTCCGTCTCCGACCCTTTCCTTGCTAGTTCATCTCTCTTCCTTAACGCAAACATATTTTTAATAAACTGAATTTAAACAAAGACTAAAAATAAAATTAAAGTAACAAAAATAATTAAAATCTATTCATGACTAAAATGAAACGTGAGTGTGCGTTTATGTGTGTGTTGTAGAGAAGTAAAAAATATGTGATTTTTCTGTTACAGATAAAAGCAGTGAGCATTAATAAATAAACATTTACTATGGACAAGGAGCTCAATATGGAAGAACAATGTCGATCAACCAACCAGGGACCTCTCACTGCCAGTGGGCGAAACTACTCAGGAGCAGGAATTAAGACTAGTGTACCTGGTACTGTCTATCAGATAGAACTCCTAATGTTATTTATTAATCGAGGACTACGCGCCCGTTGCACTTTTCGTGTAGCTACGGAAGTTGCCTCTGCAGGAGCCTTCGACGATTTAGTCTTCGAATATGAGACGGCTACAACCAATGGCATTGTATTCCTACAGGCGAAACATAGGACCAATCTTGATAAAAAAATTAGAGAAATTGATCTCACTGATATTGTAAACGGAGACTTTAGTGTTCCAAAATATTTTCAATCGTACCGCAAGATCATGAGTAAGATGACAAAGGAATTTAAAGGGGATGTAAAACAGTTTGTTATCTACGCGCCTGTTAATATAGACGATGATGTCTTAGAGAACTTTGAAAAAATTTCTCCGTCTCATGCATTTGCTGAAAATGGCTTTCTTTACTTTGATCCTAAAGTGTTGCCTAGACATCCGAAGTTTTTTAAAATTCTCAAAGATTCGCCTCTTTATAAGAAATTGGTCGAGCTATTGGAGAAAAATATAGAGCGGTCGACTGTCGCAGCGAAACTTGGCAAGACGATTGCTAGTAATAATGCAATAATAATTGAAGAGGTATTTAAAAAACATCGCGATTGGCTTTTAGAGAAAGTGCTCGATGGGAATAACATAACCACAATCGGCAACAAAGCCTACATTAGATTCAAACAAAGTTTTTTGAAAAACACAGTTCCAGAAGATGGGGAAGTTTCAGATTTCAGAAATATCTTTCTGCAAAGTTATTTAGAAACACGGCAAAAAAAAGTTAAAAACGGAGAAAATGAAACATTAAGGTTACCTGAAAAAAAAGCTGAAGTGATTGAATGCGAAGGCATACAGGAAATTATTCACATATTAACAGAAGAAAATGCAAAGTTTCAAGTAGCGAAAACATTTCTCACAAGTAAATTTAAAAAACTTAAAACTGACGCTTCTACCAAGGCGGAAATTGAATCTTTTTTTGACGAATTTGTTCTTGCAACGAATCAACCAAATGATGAAGAACTTAAGGACATAATAAAGAAAGAAATTGGCGAGTTAATTAGCTTGATGATGGATAAAAGCGGATGGGTAGAAAGCAGATTACAATCATGTATTCTGGACTGGTTAAAGACAAAAGAAGGGCGTTTCTTAACTAACGAAGACTGTAAAGTATTCTTTGATTACGTTCAACAAGAATTTGCAAGTTGGGGCCAAACCAGTTCAAGTTTAGCTAATGTTTCTCACATTGAAAATTGTGGATATGCTTTCAAAACCAGTGGTCATCTTATAGGAGCTGTAAGAAAAATTATGACGGATGATGATGTGCAAATCTTGTGCGTTTGCTATACAAATCGATTGTTAACTCAGATTAAACTGTGGCAATCGAGGTCTTCTAACCAAGATTTTATATTTGGCGAACTCAAGAAACTGAGCTTGCAAGTCGGCTCTAAACTGTGTCCCATAAAGGCATTCACATCACTTTCGAATAATCATATTTTTCTAGAAATTAATAATTGCTCAGAATTGCAAGAGAACGAAATTAATTTAATGCAAAAGCTTGTGGAAATCGTAGGAAATAATATGAAAAAACGTTTAGTAGTGATGGCCGCGAAAGAACAGCAAGTGGCATGTGAGAATATTTTAGTGCACTGCATTGCACGACTCAAAAACCAAAAGAATTACATGAAATTGCACGATTTTGAAAATAGTTTTGGCGATTTAAGTAAAGAGTCGAAAGAAAAATTGCTAAAGACAGCAACAGTCAAGTTTCAAAATAGAAAGTTTAGCTTGGGTACATTATTGGATATAACTTTAATGGACCGCTTAAGTGGTAGTACACTTTGCGAACTGATCAATGGGAACTTGGACTTAGGAAGTGCACCAGCTGATGTACTGTACGAGTCCGTTAAAGCATACTATATTGAACGTACTTTTGCGCTCCGTAAGTTTTTAAAAACAGAAATAGTGCACCAACCCGATTTTCATATAATTTCTGACCAGAGCGCCGATGATAATCAAGACGTAGACAATACTGCAAATCCAGAGTTGCAAATAGTAAGACAAAGCGATTTGAATGATAATTTAGGTGAAAGAACAATGACAGATAAAACGAACATTTTGGTCATTACTAAAAGCAGAGACACGTTTTCCAATGTTTGTCAAAAGTGTAAAGATAAAAACGTACATTGGCTAGTAAAAGAGGACAACTTTTATGTATGGCAAGAATCTCAAGGAAGACTTTCTGAAATACGAAAGTGGTTAAATATGGAATGGAAAGTCAGGATTAATCCTTGTAACGCGATATGTGAACACGTTGATAACAAAATTGTAATAGTCAATGCTGTTCCCGGTATGGGCAAGTCTATAGTACTCTCTCATTTAGAAACTAATACCAAATCCTTAAGCCCAGAATATTTATGTATTAGAACGAGTCTAGTCGATCATTGGGCGGATTTAGACGACTTCGATGAAGATGACATGATTAATGAATCAATCAAGTTTCTTTATAAAGCAGGACGACTAGTTTCTGAGGACCGTAACGATGACGTTTCTAAGCATATTACTGTCCTTGAAAATGGAGACTTAAAGTTAAGCGCTGGTCCTGAAGCAACTTTTAACGAATTATTAAGGATCTCGATATTTTGTCACTTTTATAATGAAGGAAATATTATTTTATTACTCGATGGATTTGACGAAATAAGCCCACAATACAACGATAAGGTCATTCGATTGGTACAAACGCTTCAAGTTATGAAAGTTTCGAAGATATGGATAACCACCCGTCCTTACGATCTTGTAAACGAACTAGAAGACAAACTAAGCACTTTTTCGTACACTCTGGAACCTCTTTCTGTTGATGAGCAACGGTATTTATTGCTACATTTTTGGAAAATAAAATTAAAAGTCGAAATCAGCTTGACTAAATTAATAGAATTCGTGGATTTCCTGGAACGAACCATTTTTAAACACTTTAACAAAAATAACATAAACTACATGTCTACTTTCATGGGTATTCCATTGCACATTGCAATGCTTGCTGTAATTGAAGAAAAACGATTTCTAGAATTCCTCACCGAAGTAATAGACGTAAATGATAATGATGTAGACTCACAAATCTCAATTTACACTATCTACAACGAATTCTTTAAAATCAAATTTGAAGATATTCTGTATAAGGAAACTGATGTCGATGCCCCTAAATACAGATCTATATTTAGAGAAAAAAAGAAGAAAACTATGAAAGATAACGGTAAGTTAGCGTTATTAGTACTCTTTGAGGACGTACCTGAGGCGTTGGTGTGTGAAGACGATCGTGAAAAGCTAAAAGAAGAGGTCATGATAGGAGGAGAAAAAACCGGGATTATTTACCAATTTGCAGATGGTAAACCGCGTTTTGTTCATCGAACTTACGCAGAATTCCTTGCAGCTCATTTCTTAGCCGATACCATATTAAATTCAAAAGGGTATAAATGTAAAGCGGCTACAAATTTTTTATATAAAATTATTACAGAATTCACATGGCAAACATCTGTTGTCTTCATGTTCTTTAACTACGAAGTTGTATCAAAAAGCAAATATTACACCCCCTTATTCAACTCTGCTTTAAATGGAAATGTACAGAAAATTATGGAGATTGAAAACATAACAGACATCAAGGATGATCTCGGTAGATCGCCTTTTCATTTGCTGTTCTGCAGTGGTTTGGTTTACGATGAAACAATAGATATTTTCGAAAAGTATAGTAGTGCAATGCTTGTTGCGGATAAACTTTTTAAGTGGTCGCCCCTTCATTACGCCGTGTTGTGCCACGACTGTAACAAAACATTGCTTTATCCGGGACATCAGTTTGTAACCAAATCTCCAGAACCACAATTTAGAGATATCAATGGAAGAACCCCTCTCATCATGGCATCACAACGTAAATGCACGAAAAGGTGCATTTACAATTTTATTTATAATTTTTCTCTTGAAATTGACGCTCAAGACAGTACTGGTAAAACCGCTTTGCATTATGCACTAATCAATATGAATAAATCGCAACATAATCCTAACCATAAAACTTGCTTAAGTGATTACTCAGAGTTTGATCTTATAGGGTTTTACACTGAGCATATGTTTGCCGAGAAAGGTATGATTTCAGACAATCATTTTAATGTTGATCAGTTGACATCACTGAGAAAGAAATTACTAACAGACCCAGGACTGTGTAGCCTATACCATAATACATCTCATAACCTTTCGTTATTAGCGGCAGAGATTGTAGAAACTTGGGATGCTCAAGTGAATGCTCAGGACTGTGAAGGGAAAACTGCGTTACATTACGCTATAGCAGAAAAGAAATGGACGGAAGTACACGTCTTGATAAGGCAAAAAGCTGATATTACAATAAGAGACAACAGAGGAAGAATCCCGGCGTACTTTGATGAGAGCGAAGTACTCGATTGTGAGGTGCACGAAACTACTTTGTTTTTTATAAATAGTTTGAAACCTGACGTTATGAAACTTCTAATCGATACCATGGAACTTAGTCAGGATGTTCTTGTTCAAATTCTTTATCGATACAAGAATATATCCGAATATTTGCTGGGAAAAGGATTGCTAAGTGCAAACATGCAAGATTCTACTGGTAAAACTGGTCTGCACCACGCTGTTATCCAAAATAACGGGGATGCAGTACTATTCTTAAAAAAAAATAATGCGAATCCAAATATCACAGATAATGAAAATAAAATGCCTTTGCAGTATGTCACTACAAAGGATAATGTAGAAGTGGTAATTATAAATTTATTAATGATGGGTGCTTACTTCGATGTCGTTTCACAAGAGATACTAGAAACAATGAGTATATTAAAATCAACTGCCGATTTGTACGACAGCGTAAAAGCAAACGATTTGGAAAAACTACGCAGCGTTCTAACGTCAGAGTTTAGTGGAGTTATAGTCAAAGCAAAAACTAAAGTTGGAGGTAAAACTGCATTGCATATTGCAATGAAGGCAGGGTATGTAGATATAGGACGTACTCTCTTATTGCATGGTGCTTGTTATAACGCACGCGATGATAATGCCATCACGCCGGCGCAACTCGCACAAAGACATAAATACTTGGCCGTGCGCGATTCTATTCACACAGCACATTCTCTAATTGATATAGCTCGCAAAGAATCTTTCGATTCTCTCCAAATCGCAAAATCGAGAGAAATCCACCGAACCACATTCGATTGTGATTGCTATGAATGCAAACTTAGAGACGTAGCTGTACATTACATGGATAAGGCTAAACGTGTAAATTCCAACCAAAAAGTCTCTTTAGAGATGAAGACAAGCGAAAAAGGTCGCACTTTGCATGTTAGTACAGAATCTATTAGAAGACATAATTTCACTTTGGAATTTCTTGTACGAAGGTGCAGGGGAAGAGATTTAATGGTTATGCTGAGGAGTAGAGATTTGAACAATGACTTGCATATCTTAGAAGCTGGTAGGAGTGGAGTGACAAATTTTGTTCTTCCGATGCTGAATCGTTGTAACTGCCAAAGTGACGATGAAAGCAGTTGTACTTGTATAAGTCTTCCTCAAAATGTGATTGTCGTTGTGGTGGTAGTTGTTGTCTATGTTACTAAGCAAAAGCAAATCCTTGATATTGAGGACTGAAAAGCTTTTTACTGGCGCGAATCTGATATTTATGCGACTTATTAATGTTTAAGAGCTGGACCCCACTTGATGCAGAAGCATGCTAGCAACACCCCATATAATAATCACTTATTTAGCGCGGATGGATGCAGTCATGATGCAGTACTTGTAAATGGGATGCAACCCTAAAGCACCTTTTATAAAAACCTTTAAAGCAAAGGGAGTGCTAGCCTAAACTATGGTGGAATTGACAGATGCAGTGAAGAATCATTTTGCCATCAAGAAAACTACCCGACCACGACTAGCCCCAAGATTATTGACGTCTCTATAAATTATCGTATGAAATGACCGACATGATTATGTCCATTAATATGAAACTTTATTAGTCAATGTCAAAGTAAGGATTGGAAGATTGATTGAGAAAGCAAGATAAATACGAACTTATCCTACAAAATGCGATGGCAAATGATCATTCACTACATCGGTACTGCAATTGTTTGGAACAACACTACTTTTGATACTTGTCAGCACGAGAATATCGACTTGAATAATATCTTATTAATGTATCTCTCTCAATGATCTATACAATAGATCATTGATCTCTTCCTTTATTATTATTGAAAACGAATCGCACACTATTTTGTATAGGTACATAGTGTTAAGTTTAAGTGTATATATAAAAAAGTGTATTGTAACGTGACGCTCTGTAAAATCCCAATGTGTAAACAACTTAATTGGTATGTAGATACACACAGGGTTTTTATTATTACATAATGACCTTTTATAGTAATTTGTATTCATTTCGTAGTTAATATTTTCCACTAATAAAATGATACATTTTAATAATAAATTTGAACGATGTTTCAATCATTTTTGTGCTCATTTATTTAGAATCTTCACTCCAATTTCATACAGTCCACATCGTCCACTATAATATTATTGATATTGATTGGTAGTCATTATGCTGGCTTGCTCAATTGTGACCAATTTTTTTACAATCAACTATATGATGTTATTAAATCAACATACCCCAGAAACGCAAACCCGTAGTTCGGACTATCCTGAATGGTTTTCACCTAGCTTAATTAGGATCCATAAACAAAAGCCCAAACACCATCGCCTATATAAACGTTTTGAAAATCCTAGAGATTATGATACTTTCTCTATGCTACGCTTGTGTGTGAGGTCCATACTGCAAAGCTGTTTTAAAGTTTACATTTCTAATGTTGAAAAAGACTTATCAAATAATTTGATGTCCTTTTGGTCGTATACGAAGAGCGAGGGAGTTACTAATAATATCACAATAGTAATCGTATGTATTTCCACGACTGTGTGGCTACCACGGGTGGTGATATAGTGAATCTCTTCGCTGAATTCTTCTCATCTCTACGAAAACAAGATAACACTAGCATACACCCCTGACTTTCCCGGCCATAATTACTCTCTGAGTAAATTACAGATGCAATAGTACTGGTTACTTATCAGTAGTCCGAAATGCCAACATTTGCCAGAAATAACGTTTGGTCGAAATTTCATAACCTCGAAAGTGATTTTGAGAGAAAAATGTTTTTCTTTTAAACCTAACCTAACCGAACCTAGTCGTGTCTTTGCGATAAACATTCAACATATCTTGAAATAACAACTGTTTCGTTATAATTCGGTTTTCGGTGTAATGAAAATTCGAACAAACGTTATTTCGGACAAAAAAATTTCGACTTTGTGATAGGTTACCAAAGGGACTCTGTGTTAGCTTTGCTAAAGAATGTGTCTATATGTGTGTCGTCTTATACTTTGGAAAATAAAGTTAAATAACATTTTGATTAACATCAAAGTAAATTGTAGAACCTGTTAAACAAATTTTTTTTAAATATATTAATCATCTCTTATTACGGCTTGCAATATACCTATTTCTTTGAATTTAGACTTTTTTGCATTATGTACTTACATTTACGTCAATGTGCTAGACTAAAGGTTGGCTCACGAATGCTGAACTTCTATAACATTGTCATTTCGAATGTAGTAATACTGGGTGGGTTAAATCTATTATCTAAATTTAACTTTTATATTAAAATTAACTTTTCCGTATTTGTAAAAATGTTTCAACCACCCTTGACATATAAAGGTTCTAATTTTCTTGAGATATCGAATTTTGCTAAGCCATTGTTATTTAATTAGGAGACGCAAGTTCAATAACTAAAATAAATTATAAACTTATCGCAATACTTACTTAATTACAAATCTTTTAATAGGTAATAGTTTTCTAAACTTCGAAAAATAAAGGAGCAATGATAAAAGATAATCAAAAATCATTAATGCTCACTATGCTGATTCCTGCTATTTGGATGCTACTGAAGAACTGCTAAATAAGCTTGAACGACTGCAAAACCTATGTATAAGGATAAGGTTCATCTTTGGGCTTCGTAAATATGACCGAATTTCACATTTCCGCAGTCAGCTCAAATGGCTTCCCATCCGTCTCGGCAGGAATTTGCATATTGTCTCCATTCTTTACAATATTTTACATAACCCTGTGTCTCCCGGGTACCTGAAAGAGCGTTTCAGCTTCCTTATGTCCCAGGATAAGCCCTGTCGCTCTCTTGTTAGGTCCCAGTTATCTTTTCCATGCTTCAATTCCGGTTTCTATTCTCACTCCTTCACTGTTCATGCGGTCAGACTTTGGAATGCACTTCCTATTACTGTTCACGAAAGTAAATCGTTAGCTATTTTTTAAGTGAGAGTTAAAGAGCATTATTTATCTACTATTCCATCCATATCTTAGGTATTATATTATAAAATATGTATTTATCTAAGTATTTATATAATTTAATAATTTTATATTTTTTTTGTTCTTGTTTTGTTGTGCACATATGCCCGTTCTTTTAGTTATAGTGTCCTATATTTAGGTCTGCAGGAAGAAATTTCTATTAGAAATAAGCAGAACCTTTTGTTTTTAATTTCGCTTGTATTCTTTGTGACTTGTTGTATTTTTCCTGTAGGTACAATAAACTATTAAATAAATAAATAAAATAGATTTCCAGATGGAAATTGTCATTCTGTGGATTAACACAAATATATACTATACTACCTATCAGTAGTCGGAAATGACATTTTCCAGGAAAAAAGGTTTGCTCGAATTTTCATAACCTCGAAAGTAATTTTGAGAGGAAAATGTTTTTCTTTTAAACCTAACTTAACCTTTTTTTTATTATTATCGTGAGGAAAATGGGTAGACGGCGGGGATATGTGGTACTCTCTTCTGGAGACTATGTCGGTCCCCAAGAGCATACCCACACACATATCACGATGCTACTCCTCTCAACACGGTACCGGAGAACGTCATGATGACGAATCCCCAGCACCGTGCAGAGCCACGGGGTCCCTTTCGGATTCAACCGCGGCTCCCCCGGTGGTGGTCCGCTTCTTAAGCGGACCCCTCCTCGATCCCCCCTCGGCGGGGAACCTCCACGGTGATGCCCCGGAGCATTGGGGGCATCTGCCGTCTGCGGTGGCCTGTGCAATGCAGGGGCAGGGCCTCCCAACCCTGCTCCCCGCTGGCCTCCGCGGATGGCAAGAAGACTATCGCCGTAGGACCTCCTCGTCCGCCCTGGTCATCCTCGCGGGCTCGTTCGGCGGTCTCCTTCTGCGACATGACATCTTCGCAGAAGGTGACCATTGCCTGCCAAAACCTAACTTTGCCTAATCTAACCGAACCTAATCGTGTCTTTGCGATAAACATCCAACGTATCCTGAAAGAACAACGCTTTCGTTATAATTCGAGTTTGTGATAGGTTATCCACAAATATTGTATCCAAAGCTCCATCTAAGTAAATATCACCGACAGATGTCAAATAAAAATAACTATTGCTTCGCTTTCAAACTACTGAAGCATTCAATAGCATAACAGAGAGAGCATAACAAATTGCAAACCACATCATTAAAATTCGTAAAATTGGGCAAACACTGTTTGGTATACTCGATTACGCTGTTGCAAATAAATTAGGCTGTGCTTGAATTAGTAGTTTTATGACAATCTTGGTAGGTTGTAATTTTAGGCATAAAATGCGTAAAAGAACTCTGTTCAAAGCGAGACCGCAATAGTCTCATAGAATCAGACTTGTTCTTGCCCCAGTCTTGCAGGGTCGGCCAAGACTGATTTTGGGCAACATTACGCTCACTCTTATTAATCGTTTAAGTCATTGGTTCGTATGTAAGTCACGCCTTTTCTATCGAAAGCATCTTCGCCTATTGAAATCGGGGCTTGAATTCAGTCGGGCGGAACAACGTAAATGAATAACAGCTCAGACATAATGACATCTCCAATGACAGCTCAGCTTGCTTTCGTGGAATTCAGATAGGTATATATAAATCCACGAACTTTAAAGGCCGGTGGTTTTTTCTTAAGTTATAATTATTATTTGTTCCTTTGATTAATTTGATTATAATGTGTTGATTTGCAATCTCGGCAGAAAATATGCATTTTAGATCTATTTGGTGGTAGTGTACGGGTAGGGATGGGGGAGTATCGTATCGAGCGCGTGATTAGTAGATCATCAATCGACCTTGCGTATTGCGTCTACGTTCCGCTGACATCGCGCATACGTTCTAGTTTCTCACGAAATGTTACGTGGTTTGGTATGTAAACAAGAGTTAGTGCAAAAAAAACAGGTTCACCAGACCCTGCATTACCATCAAGTGCGTTGTTATGGCATGATGTGAAACGTTTAGTTGTATAAGAATTGCGCTCAAAAATCATCTCTGGTTTGTTTCTGCTTTTTCTGTTGTGAAGAATGTGCTAAGCTTAAACGAAAATGTTACAAATTATCGACTTCCCTTTCTATGTACTTAAATGAAAGAAAAAGCATTCCAGACTATTGCCATCTCAACTAAATCTTACGTGAAGCAAATGAACCATCGAAGGATTAACCATTCGTGCGCTCCACCTTTCGCAAATTTGTCTTCGTGCTATCGTCATTTGCGCAAATGGACCATCGCGCTTTTAAACCTTCGCGCACAATTCGTGAAAATAAGCCGTCGCGCATTATAGCTTGACAGTCTTCGCACTATCGTCATCGCGTAATCGGCATTAGCAATCACGTGGGAAATCCGTGTGACGGAACCGTTAGACATGACTACTACTCATGACTGTCACGACCTCGTATAGCACAGTAGCCATAAAAACTTCGCGTGGACAGTATGTCCACGTACGATCATTGTTAACCCAATCGTTCAGCCAGTACTTCGCATCATCACGTAAACAGCTTTCTACTCTCGCAAGGCACTCACAGTCGTCATAATTATT